TTTATTTTATTTTCATTTTATTTTCATTTTATTTTTATTTTATTTTTTATTTTATTTTTTATTTTATTTTTATTCTCATTTTATTTTTATTTTATTTATTTTATTATTTTGTATTTTTATTTTTATTTTATTATTTAATTTTATTTTTTATTTTATTTTCATTTCATTTTTTATTTTCATTTCATTTTTTATTTTCATTTTATTTTTTATTTTACTATTTTTATTTTATTTTTTATTTTTTATTTTATTTTTACTTTAATTTTTAATTTAATTTTATTTTTTATTTTATTTTCATTTCATTTTTTATTTGATTTTCATTTCATATTTTATATGATTTTTCATTTTATTCTTATCTCATTGTTTCCTGTGATTATCCCTTTCTCCATACGCAGCACCACATGATTTCCAGGAATGGGAAAACGAGGGAATTGCATTCAGGAATTCTAGCATTTTTCTGAAATCATTGAGGAAACAGGCTCCTGCTGATCCTTTCACTTGGATTTACACAGCAAATGGAAAAGTCATAAATCCCAGCTGGTGGGGGGTGGCACTGGATGGGCTTTAAGGTCCTTCCAATCCAAACCATTCCATGATTCCAGAATTCTCCACATCCATCTTCATGAGCAGAACCAAGCCCCTCCTGTCTGGTGGAGCTGCTAGACACAGAATCCCAGATTCTGCTGAGCTGGAAGGAACCCACAAGGATCATCCAGTCCAACCCTCAGCCCTGCACAGGAACATCCCCAAGAGTCCCCCCCTGTGCCCCAGAGGATCATCCAAACCCTCCTGGAGCTCTGGCAGCCTTGGGGCCGTGCCCACTGCCCTGGGGAGCCTGGGCAGTGCCAACCACCCTCTGGGGGAAGAACCTTTCCCTGAGATCCAACCTGACCCTGCCCTGGCACAGCTCCAACCCTTCCCTGGGTGCTGTCCCTGGTCCCCCCAGAGCAGGGATCAGTGTCTCCATCACACACAGACATCCCAGCACTGTGCAAATATGAAAGACAGGGAGGTATTTAATAGCAAGATTTATTAATTTGACTCCCTCTCTTTTTCTGCTCTGCTCTTGCAGGGTCAGGGTGTCTCCATCACAAACAGATTCCCTTGAGAAACCTCTTTCTTGTGTTATTCCATGAAAATCCCTCCGCTTTCCCCTCCCTTTAAGTCTTCATTTGTCGCCTGGCATTTCAGAACATCATTTAAATGGGTAATAACATCATTCCAGGCCTATTTTCTGGATTATGGTTTCATTTGGAGCAGAGTAAATACTGGATCATCTTCCCAAGGAGCTTCCAAATGAACACATCTGCCAAAATTCCTCACTGAATACAAATTCCTGGGATATGTGACAACCTCGGAGCCAGAGGAGGAGAGAAAACGCCAGGGGAAATAAAACCAACAAAACCAAAAAACCCCCGAGTTTTTCCTCTTTTTTTTCTCCTTAATATTAAATTTATTGACAGTGGTGAGGAAACAACCCTCGAACTCGGCATTTTGGTGCCTGGAATGTCTGGTTTAAATGCAGCTGCTCTGATTTCCACAGGCTGGAAGTGTCTCCCTAAATATCTGGGAAGCCACATAACAGGTTTATTCCCATGGGTTTCTCTCCAGTGGTTCAGCTTCCCCTCTTGTGCCCAAAGCTGTTGCTCTAATTTCAGGAAATTAGCCCCAAATAACCTGAATTCCTTCATCAGCTTCTAAATCTTTTAAATTAAATTTTAAATTTGTTTTAAATTTAAATAATTAATAAAGGTGCTGATAAAAGGTGTTAATAAGGAGTTTAAAGGTGTTAATAAAAAAAAACCTTTAAATAAATGATTGAGTTATTTTCCTGTTGGATCTGCAAATTTTTGAAGCCTGATTTGGAGATGATTTTATTATTTTTAGGAAGACATTTCTTAATTTGATTATTTTAGGCAGGAATTGTTGGCTGGGAGGGTGGGGAGGCCCTGGAATAGAATTCCCAGAGAAGCTGTGGCTGCCCCTGGATCCCTGGAAGTGTCCAAGGCCAGGTTGGAGCATCCTGGGCTAGTGGAAGGTGCCCCTGCCCATGGCAAAAAGTGGAATAAATGGGCTTTAAGGTCCTTCCAACCCAAACCAGTCTAATATTTTAGGCTTTTTCTCCGATATCTAAATT